AATCTATATAGCAATTTTGGAAGTATGGCCATTTTCACTATATTAATCCTTCCTACCCAGGAGCAGGGGATGTCTGTCCATTTTCTGATATTATCTTCAGTCTCTCTTTTCAGAGTTATAGTGGAAAGCTTTAATATTTCACAAATCAGTGTGCACTGGATGTTGTTGTAATAGCTTATTTTTTCTGAAAGTTAACTTCGTAAACACTTTTTGTCTAAGTATTCATCATCCAGACTTTTATAATGGCTTTGGAGTTTTCCTGCATATAGCCATCAATTTTTAGCCATCCTCAAATCATTTTCTTACCTTTGTAAGATTTATGAAATTATATTAGAATATTCTAGAATGTAATTGGAGTTCAATCCTCTTCCAAGAGAATGCACACAAATACCTACATCAAATACCTGCTTCTGCCTGACAGGAAGTAATGGGGACCAGATTTGCCTTTCTGCCTGAAATGAGAAAAAAATTACATGAAATGTGCACAATCACTGTTTTCAAGACATTGAAATTCAGGCAACAGAGCAACAAAGGGAATCTATGCAGTGTAACGGGGTTACCTGAATGCAAGAGAAAGCTAAGAATCTGGAGAAGCTACATTTACCAGTATGGCTAGATTTGAAAGGATAGAATATCATACAGGAGAGAACTACAGAAAGAGAGAGAGAGAGAGACAGAGAGAGAGAGACAGATGCTGAGAGATAGAAAGAGAGAGAGACAGAGACAGAGAGATGTTGAGAGAGACACACAGAGAGCTCAGCAGATCTGTGGATGGTTTCCTCTAAGTGTTCAACAAAGTACTGGTCATGATCAACATGTGGGGAAATTACCTAGGGCTAGGAGAAGAGCCCGCTAAAAGGCTTAGAAATATCTGAGGCCACAGGGATGGAGTAGTGCCTGTTCACACCAGCAGACAAGAAATGCTGGTAATTCCTGGCACGTTGGGAGAGTATCTAGTGGAATTTTGCCTCAGTCGTAGAAAATTCCATTATGCAACATGAATAAGTACTAGATTAAATGCTGTTCTAGTGCTACCTAATAAATCTTAAAAGCAAGACCTTAAAAAGGAGAAGCTTTTTTTTTTTAGAATAACAAAAAATATTTTACTAAAACATAAGATATACAGTAGTTTCCAGACAAGCCATACAAAATGGTCACAAGCTTTTTTTGAAAGGGGGAATCTACACTTGACAGCAAAGTCACAATGTCATTATTGAGGGCTGTGATGTTTGTTAATGTTCCCAATTTTGTGCAAACAATCAGCTTGTCCATCGATATCATCTAAATAAAGTTAGACCTGGCTAGAGAGCGTATTCTAGAGTATTGGTTAGCTGCTTTTTAACCAATGCAATTAGATCACCATAAAAGGGGGGGAAAGGAGCCCTTAAAATTTTGAAACTGCTTTTCCCCTCAAAAAATAAAATAAAGAATACCCATACCCCTGCAGCTAACCCTGACAACTACCTTCCTTCACAGTGCTTTATACTTAAACCATGATGGGGGAAATGCGTAAAAGCAGAGGGCCGCTGCTTTTAAACATTTCACAACAATCCAGATGATACTTCTAGCCTCTGCGCATGCTTTATAACAGTGAATCAGGACACGACATCGATTTTCTAAAGTGCATTTAATCACCAAAGGACTGAAAATGTCTGGGCTTTTATTCTGTAATGTTTCTAAGACCGTGTCCATTAAATGCAAACAAAAAGAAGTCTTGGCAGAACAGGAGAAGTGACACAAACTTGATGATCGGATCGACTTAAATATTATTCATGGCTCATAGCCTAGTCCATGCTCTAGCTGTTACTGTGGCTTGGGCCTCATTGGTCTTCCACTGCTCCGCTACATTGTTTGCTAATGGGTCATCTGGATTAGGGGCACTTAACAAAGCCTGGATCGGGACCAAAACTGTGCAGATCTGCAGTGCTGGGGACCATTTATCTTTCAAAATATCTAAACATCTTCCCAACTTGTCTACATTAGGATGATAAATTTTGGTCATGAAACGTACTTCAGGTGCTGCCATTGGGTATTCTTCTGGAAGAACTAGTTCAAGTTTAAAAGTCCCTCTCTCAAAGGGGGAACCCTGGGGGCCAGCAATGACCATATGAAAATACCAAGCGTTGCTCTCATCTGGTTCCCCTTCAACAGCAGGAACTGGTTCTGCCAGCAAACATTGAGTTTCCTTGATGATCCTGTGGGACAGCCCGGCCATCTTGTCAGATCCCGTCTTCGGCCTCTGGTCGCGTCTCCCGCTCCGCTTGCCTCACGCATGAGTGGAAGTCCCGGTCTCCACTTCCGGGGTACGTCGCCACGCCCACCATGGCTGTCGCCAAGTCCCCTCGGGAAATGTAGTCCCTGCTCTGGCACGGGCGACCTTCCCTCTGACCTGGCCCTCCTCCGTGTTCCCGCCCCAGAGAAGCTGTTTTCAAGTACCTGAACTACATCTGCAAAAAAAGTTCAAATATATTTGTAGGAATAAAAAATATCCAGGAGTCAAGAAAAGTAGAAATATCAATCCTAAAGTTCATATGGAGCCACAAAGCATCCCAAAGCAATCTTGAAAAAGAAGGACAAAACTAGAGGCCTCACAGTTCTTGATTTCAAATACATTACAAAGCAACAATAATCAAAGCAGTATGGCACTGTCATTAAAATTCATCCATAGATCAATGGAACCAAATAGCAGTCCAGAATAAACTCAGACATAAAGTCAATTGATCTCTGGTAAGGGTGCCAGGAATACTAATGAGAAAGGAGAGTTTCTTTGACAAAAAATATTGGGAAAACTGGATTTTCACATGTAAAAGAATAAAATTGTACAACTATCTTATATCCCACACACAAACCAAGTTAACATGGATTAAACATCATTTAAATATAAGACCTGAAACTATAAAAATCTTAGAAAAAAATGTGGGGGAAAACTTCATATCTCCATTCTCATGTTTATTGCAGTATTATTCACCATAGCCAAGATATAGGAACAACCTAAATGCTCATGAATAGATGAATGGATAAAGATGTGACATTCACTTAAATCCATATGTATGTGCAATGGAATACTATTCAGTCTTAAAAAGGAAAATCCCACAAGATGTGACAAAGTGGGTGATACTGAAGGACATATATTAAGTGATATAAGCCAGCCAAAGAAGGACAGATGCTGTATGATTCCACTTACATGAGGTAGCTAAAGTGAACATATTTATAAAGACTGAAACTAGAATGGTGGTTTTCAAGGGTTGGGCCTGGGAGAAGTGGAGAGTTATTTAGAGTATGAAGCTTTGGTTATGCAGCATGGATAAGTACTAGGGATCTGATTCCAAGTTTTGCCCATAGGTAGCAATGTTGCTTTATGTACTTCACATTTTGCTGGAAGGGTAGATCTTGTATTAAGTGGTATCACAACAATTAAAAAAATCTAACACCCAACAGTTCACAATTAGCATCTAAAGACCACCTGATGTGAAAATAAGCCCCCAAAATGACCCATAATAAGAATAATTCATTAATGGAAACTGACTCAGAACTGACATGGACATCAAAATTAATAGACAAGAACATTAAAATAGTTATTATAACTATGCTCTACATGTTCAAAAAGCCAGAGAAAATATTGACAGCATTAAAAACAAATATGATGCATATATAATATTTTAAAATACATATTTAATACATTATATAAATATACTTAAATTAATATACACTATTTATGTGAGATTTACTCTTTTAACAAAAGTTTAAGTGCATACTACAACATCATTGACTATGGACAAAATCTTGTCTAGCAGATCTCTAATGCTCATTTCTGTTGCATAACTTTGTGCTCACTAAACAATTCCCCAAGCCCCAGACCCTGAAACCATTCTTGGTTTCTATGAGTTTGATTATTTTGGATACCTCATATAAGTGGAACCATACAGTATTTGTGTGTATATTCCAAATAAAATTTAAAGAGATTAAAACTATAGTATCAGATATAAAACATACTGAATTGGATTATTAGCAAGCTAGACATTGGAGAAGAAAACATTGGTGAACTCAAAGTTATAGCAATAGAAACTATCCCAACTGTTACACAGAGGAAAAGATGTAATGAACAAAAAAGAAAAGAAATTAACAAACTATCAGTGAACTGAAATTCTACAAAGATAAAGGATGAGAAACATAAAGAAAACTTCACTTAGGCATATTGTAAGTAAGTCGACCAAAACCATTGTTAAAGGGAAAATCATCAGAAACAAAAGACATTATGTTTAGAAGAACAAAACAAGAGTGTTTGTGCATTTCTTTTCAGAAATAATCCAAGGTGTTAAGCCAGGGAGCAACTTTTTAAAATAGCATTGAAATACACACACATATTCACTCCAGAATTCTATACCCAGAAATAACCGTTCTAAATTAAGGAGAAATAAATACTTTGCTATACATACCAAGCCTGATGGACTTTATTAGCAGAAGAACCACAGAGGGGCCTTCAGAAAGAAGAGAGATGGTACCAGATGGGAATCCAGGGCCATACAAAAGGATGAGGGTATAGAAATGGTATCAATATGGGTATATACTTAAGAGTTTTTTTATGCTTTAAGTTTCTTTAAAAGATAATTGATGTATTACGCCACCTGCTGCGTAAGCACAAGAACCCGAGTTCGATCCCCAGTACAAAAAAAAAGATAATTGATGTAGAAGAAAAAATAATGTGTTGCATGATTTGCAGCCTCAGTAATAGTAAAAAGGGTGATAAAACAGTACAAAACCCAAGAGGAAAGAAATGGAAGCATACTGATGTAAGATTCCTTTTTTTAAGTTCTTTAAAGAATTTTTGTTTAGTTTTTAAATTTTAGTTTATTAGTACATAATGTTTATATTCCTTGTGGGAAGGAACATGTCCATAATACATTTTAGTTCTTTCCGGATGTAAGGTTCTTAATCTATATATATGACATTTCTTGAAGGTGGATTGTAATCAGTTACATAGTATAAACCCTGAATAAACTACTAAAAAATTTTTAAAAAACAAAAATTTATAGTGAATAAGCCAATAAAGGTAATAAAATGGAATCATAAGAAAAACTTCATCTAAAAAAAGGTGGAAAAGAGAGAGCAGATAACTAGAAAACAAAGATCAAGATAGTAGATTTAAATATAACTCAGCTGTAAAACATTATATATAAAAATAGCAAAATACATAGCAAATACTCCGATAGACTGTATTCTGATTATATAAACAAGTCTTAAGTTGAAAAGGGTTAAAGTCATACATAGGTTTTCTGTTCTCAGTGGAGTTAAATCGGAAATCACTAACAGAAAGCTATTTTGAAAAATCTCCCCAAGTATTTGCAAACTAACACATTTCTTTTAACAATGAGTCACAGATTTCTTCCTTGAAATGCAAGTGCCACACACCAAGATGTGGGATGCCAGAGCACCCTCAGATGGTAGTTCATAGCACTAGACACCTCTCTTATAAAAGAAGAAGTCCCAAGTCAGACTGCAGCTTGTCTCTTGATACCAGACAAAAGAAGAAAAGGAAATCAAAGTAAGCAGAAGTAAGGAAATAATAAAGGTCAGAGCTTCAGAAATAGATGAAATAGAAAACAGGACAGCTGCCTGGAAAAGCTCTCTGACCATGAAGAGAAATGGGTTAGCAGAGTCACAAAGAGGAGGTTTTCTGTGGTAGTAAAGTGTCAAAAAGCCACGAATGGTGTGGTAGAAAGCACTGGACTCAGGCCTTGGTATAGCGACTGGGTTTGATGCCGCCTCTTCATGGCTCTGAGATGTTGGCTAAGTCATCTAGCATGCTTATGCCTCTTGCAAAATGTGGACAATGAGTTCTTCTCTCTAGGGCCGGCAATCTATCCCCTCTTTAATTCTGCCTAACAGACCTCTTCATATCTCTCAAAAAGGTGATAACATTATCTCTCCTGCCTACTGGGTAGAGTTGTGAGAGCCAATGAGACAGTGCACCCCAGAGTGATTTGTGCAGTAAGATGTGAGCTATCAGGTTCCATAAGGAGGCGTGTGGAATTATTCAGCTTAAGCTCGAGGATTATACATGTGCGTTTTATTCACACATGTCAACTTTGTGTTTTTCTATAATGGATAGCTGAAATTTCAAGGCAGCATTCAACAACATAAAATGTCTTAGGGTTCTAGGCTTAGATGAGCAGAGGAAATCTAATTCTATTATTTTTGTTTATAATCAATCTGATCTTCCTCACAAACTCCCATCTCAAGGGAGTGAGGAAGAAATAATTTTCAACCCCACATTAAACTGATGGGACCATCATTTAAAACAGGCTCTGCTTGCTGTTCCTCTTTCTGCCCCCTCTCTGACCGGGTCTCTGGATATGGCTGCAGGGGAACATGGAGCCTTGTGGCAGAGTGCCAAGGTGCTCATCAACCTTGTGCCATTTAGATTTCGTGGCAGAGGCCTTGCTGATAGGAGCCCTGCATGGGGCTCTACCATGTCCAGCCTCAGAAACCACAGCACAGTGAGCCCTGCCATGGGCCCAGGATAGGTGGAGGGCTGCTGAATTGGGCTCTACCAGAGGTCGATGCTCCTGGGGGCCAAGGGAACCATCTGGTTTCAGTCCACAAGGCAGGGGAGCAAGACTAGTTTGAGAGCTAAGTTCTTGGCCCGCTGTGCCTAAACACATTGCATCACCAACTTTCCTGTGCTCAGCTGAGGCCTCCTTTGGGAAGGGAGTCTGGGTCTCCTGCCAGATTTCTGGTTAGGACTGGAAGCCAAGGCTCCCTTCCATCTGGCTCCCTCACACCTATTTAACACCCCTTCCACCACTCTGGGCTTCAGGCCAGAGGAGGAAATGAAGGAGAAATCAGGACATATGCTGTTGACTACTTGGCTTACCTAGGTGCCCTGCCTCCTGCTTTTCTCTGACCAGAAAATGTTGTTTTCCTTCTTTTATCTACTGTTTTTTTTTCTACTCCTCCTTATCTTCATGTACCAGAAGGCTTGAGGACTATGTTAGGCGGAACATTCTCAGAGGTGCAGGATGGCTACTTGAGTATCAGGGACCAAGGCAAAGTGAAACACAGGCCCTGTTCTCAAAACTGTTGGAGAATGGCAGGCAACAATGGCAGAACCTCAAGGTAAGCAGCAAGGGACCCTCTACGACTGCCCTGATGTTGCCCACCCCAGGCTGGTCCTGAACAGGAGTTGGAGGAATTTAGTAAATCCAGCTGCTCAAC